CATATGTTGGGAGCTGTGCATCCTCTACGCACGTGGTACATGACCCTGAGGGCAACTCCAACAGCCTTCTAAAAGCAAATTGACATTAGAATCAAGGAGAAGTTCTACTGTACGAGCCCTAAACGAGACATCACGGACGGTCTAGATCGCTGCACTTAGGCTCCACACAAGCATGAGGCAAATCAATTAACTAAATCAACGTGACCTTACTCTAGTCTGGAAGATGGCGGTAGAGATACCAACCTCGATGGTTGCAGACAAAAGAAACGTAATGCTCGCCGTGTCGCGATTACAAGAGCTTGCATGGTGCAGTGAGCCAACATCAAAGATACATGTAGCAATAGAAAAGAGATGCCTTGCTTTGGATTGATGATCAGATTGAATCGAATCCCACATTCCCACGCCAAACCATGACATCATCCTGGGTCGCAGCGGTAAGTGAAGACAATTGACATTTTCAAATCAAAGATGGAATAGTTTTCCTGAAATGTGAATGACGCTGCATGGCATGTTATTTCTGAAACACAGTTCGTCCGGTGCTGTAAAAGTGTAACGAGCAGTTTTCGAATTGTCTTGGGCTGACTGTGGCCTCTTAAATAACGTGGTGTCCAGTTATGATCACGATGCGTCGGAGGAAGCGACCTACTGTGTCTCCCCCGACTAGAGATGAGCCAAAGGAATGCACTAGGTACAGCGTACCAGTACTCCTGGAGGCCTGGGGCACGGATCAGCTTTCTGGATTGGAGTGATCGAGATTGACACGAGGTTTCAATGTCATATAAAACTGAGCTCACAATTTGCCGCAAGCCAACGAACACGAACCACCAAACAACGAAGATCGTTGCTAGAAAACATGACCTCCTCACCTACCGGTAGCAAAGACAACAAACCTAAGAACTATCCGATGCACAATGTTAAGGAAATACACCCTCACGATGTCCTGTGCGGGAGAGGCATTGGAAATGAAGCACGTGGAAACCATTGTGCGGGGAACTCATCAGAACAACATGGACGAATCTCAACTTGCCTCGCTCCCAAAGACAGCCGTTCGAAGTAGCATCGTTTTGGCCGTTCGGACCTTGTCCTCCTGGCAGATTCTCTTCTGCTTGGACTCCAAAACTCGACCTACTATGCTATCGGCGACAGCAAAGCCAACCTGAAGACAGCCCAGGCCATGAGGGATGTCAAGAAAAAGATGATTGCCGACGTGGACAACACCAGCATCTTTGGTGCTTCTAGAAGCAGTGCCAGGAGAGTACCTTCAGATTCCTCCACTACGGCTTCCCCTCGAAAAGCAGTCGCAAGTCCCGATCAGGTGGGTAGATTCCAAAACTCAGGTGATGACCATGCCATTTACTTTGCTTCCCAGTCGCCTGGATGGTTCCAGAGGCATATCGTCCAATTTGGTGGAATTCAACTCTAGTCCACAAGATCGTGCAAAATCTCCCTCTCAAGAATTGTTTTACATGACATGACTCCTTCCTCTCTCCTCTCGCACGCTTGTCTCCTCCATGACAATCAACGATAGCATGTTTCCTTCCCCCACGTAACAACAATGGAGCATGGATCCATTTTTCCAATCAATCAGGACCACAAGACAATCTTGCACCACTTCCTGAAAAAGCCTACCATGCTCAAGAGAGCCACCTCGTGGGATGACAAAAGCCTCAGTTCCATGGGACTCACCGAACAGGAATGGACACAACTCTTGTCAGAAACATCGGGCTTCCCCGAACTGGAAGAGGAAGACCCTCTGCTGAGCAACTTTGGCAATGAGGTGGTGTGTTTGCATGGAGGCGATCTCCTCTTGCAAACATTCGAGTGGTAGATGATAATTCAAGGGAACAAGCAAAGTCAAAAAGAAAAACTGTATATACGATGGATCATCTACTACTAATTTTTACCTAGTGGATTATCAAATCAATTTTTGACCACCTCCTCTGATCAGATGCATTCAATTTGTTGTTGTCAACATACTGTGTCATGCATCATCCTAATTCGAGGGAGTTTTCTTACTGTTGTACTATTCAGATGAAAACCTGTTATCCCAACCAAACAATCCATTTTGATGGATCATTCAGCACAAGGGAAGGTCCAATCCTGCCACATGTACTTTTCTCTCTCCCTACAATCTTCTTCAGCCATTCCAGTCAGAGTTCCATCAATCCTGCAAGTTGCAGTTGGAGGAGCCAACCATTGCCTATAGAAGAAAGGTCATACGATTTTAGCAAAGAGTGACTGGATTAGGTACCAATAGGCACCAACGGTGCCGGTACAGGATGCACAGCCTCCCAACCATTAGCGATAGAAGAAACGTGCCCATAGTGCCATGGTGCCCACGTTCCGCTGTTCCATCGACTTTATGCATTTTTTGTCCGCAAACTTTGCATTCTACTTCTCCTCTCTTCAGCAACGAGAGGACGAGACAGCTTCCAAGTGAACCAGGGTGATTCAGAGCGGCAGCTCAGAGGAACGGCAAGAACTACTAGCACCGCCGTCTACAACTTCAGGTCCTGTCGGCATAAAGGGATCTTTTCAGCATTCTTCCAAACAACCAAGCTGACCGGTCCAGATACCCAGACTTCAGCAAACAGAGCCTAGCTAGCATGGATGTGGGTGTCGAAGTTTGAGCGCATACAAAAGGCTAAGTTCGTCTATACAATGTTTTCTTATTCATTCTAATGCTCTAGCTGGTTCGTCGTTACATAGAGTGAACCAGTTCAAAGAGACTCCTCGTGCTCTGTCATGATGGTTGACTCTGTGTGCTCCAGTTCATCCTTTTCACATTCTCCAACGCTGTGCTTCTTTTCCCTTCTTCGAAAGATGCTTTGAAATGCGTTTTTTAAAGTCCATTTCTGCTTCTTATGTGGAGAAGAGGAGGCTGATTTGTTGTGCCCAGGACAGAGAAGCGCTAAACTTGTCTTGCTACGAGAGGTTCCTGATATGATATTCGTCGAAGCAGTTTGCAGAACCATGTGCCTTTCCACCAAACGACCAGGCTTCTTGTCCTTCAAAAGCTTGCAACGATCTCGCTTACTGTTGTTCTCCCACATCTTCCATTGACTGTATCTAAGCTCTTGTTGTGCTTCCTCCAGTGCTGCACTCCACATAGAACTCGCGCTATCATCAGGCATGAGGCTCTTGAAACTTATGCTCTGCGTTCCTGGTGCCACAACACTTTTATTTGTGGTTGCTGGTGTAGAATTGGGCGTAACGACCGCTGTCGGTGGAGCAGCCGGTCTTGGCAGGGTTACCTTGTTGGCAGCATGGCAGCTTTCTTTGTCTTGGCTTCGCTTGATCATTGTTGTTGTTGTTGTTGCTGTTGCTGTTGCTGTTGTTGTTCGCGCTCGGCTTCGGCTTCGTTTTGTGGGTGGAATTGATGTTTGCGCCATGGTTTGCTTTCTTCTTTTGAATGCTTCCTTGCTGCGCAGCCTGTACTTCGAAAGGGCTACTGATTGAGGCTGTGGAGTGAATGAACGAACGAATCAAGCAAGAAAGACGACGCCGTCGAAGTACGAGGGGCCCCGCATGGCGCCATTGGAGTCAGATCCAGAGTCGAGTCGCCGCTGGTTTTTGTTGCGCTTGATTTACGGTCCGTGCCGACATCCACCTCCTGTGTTGTGCTCGGAACCAGTTTGCTGCATGCCAGTTTGGTTTTATCTGTGACTGCCTGCCGGCGCGCACGAAAAAAGGAAGTATCTTGCCCATCTTACGGTACTGGAACCCAGGCACAACCTTGTGGTGTGTCAGCAGCCGATAGCTCGCAGCTCTTTTGCACAGCGTAGTTTAGTGGTCCGAGCTACAGTATCCAGTTGGGGCGTACGGTACGGAACCTGATGCCATGAGAAGGACAAGAGCCAAAGCGAAGGAGCTAAAATGCAACGTCGTTGAGAGCACGGAGCACAATCTACAGCTAGTCAGTTAGTTGGGAGCAGCAAAAGCAAGCCCTTGATTTTGAAATACACGAACAAGTTGAATGGATCCAATGTTCTTGAAGGTGGAAATCCCGCTCGGCAAGAGATGGGAATTAATATCTGAAGCTTCACATTGAAAGTGAGAATGCTGCCGACAATGGTGATGGAAATTGCCAGGGTCGTCTAATCAAACTGGACCTTCAAGAAGCAAAAAGCTGTCAGCGGATTCTATGCTCATTTTGGATTCGACTCGATTCACTAACCAAGATCTGGATGTTCGTCACCACCGTCGATGCGCTCCATAGGCAAGTCACACGATCAGATCAACAGCGAATCTCCTCCGATGATACATACATGTAGTTGCTTTCCAGCCACTAGTACTCACTTCTCAATCAGAGTTGGTAAGCCCTCCAACGAAGAAAGAGATCTCCTGTGCCAGGTAGATCCTTTCCCATTTCCAGGTATTGGGGCTGGTGCACAAGGTACCGTATCGGTAAAAGGTTGTTTGTACGTAATTTTTAGCTTGACGGTGCACAAGCACTTGGAACTTTTAGACTGGTGGTAGCATGTTTTGAATTGAGTCACGAGAATCCAATCTGCGATTGCCGGTGACACCATGGTTGAACTTGGGAAAGATCCGCAATGACTCAGTCCCACCGCTTGCTGTAGTCAGTTGGGCTCCAAGGATCACAACAGGTGTTGACAACAACCACCACGATGATGCGTGTCCGCTCCCTCGTTGCGGTTCTTGCTGTGATTCCACTGGCTAGCGCCTTTAACTCGTGTAGTAGTGGCAGAGCAGGCTTGCATGGTAGAACAACAGCCCAAGAACAACAACAATGCCGACAAGACTTTGTGACTCCAGTAGTTTTGTTTTCTTCGTCACCGACCAGCGGTAGCAACGATGAATTAGATCCAGAGGCGATTGGGAATCAGTTAGTCAAGGAGGCGAAAGAAGTGGCGTCCTGTGTGGGGATTGTGACGAATTCCTTGTTCAACTTGGGAGACGACATCAAGGCTACCGACATTGTCGAATTCTGCGATGAACTGGATGCATTACAAGAGGATGCCGACTTGTTTGTGTCTCGGGAGCTCAAACTACGAAAATTGGCCATGGAATTCCAGCGTTACGAATTGTTGGTAGCACTCATGAGAAATGACTACGACGCCTATGTCGCCACCGCGGGCTTTTTGAGTCCCAGTCGCATTCCTCGCAGCAAATTGCCCAATCTGCAAGATGTCCCCTATGATGGTAGTAATGAAAGTAGTGAACAAGAACAACAAGCCAAAAAGCCAAACAAGGCAACAACAACCATCACTGATGAAGATGGAAATCCACTGGTGGCAGACTGTGAATTGGAGAACATGGAATTCAACGAGAGTCCACTCGACAAGTTGCTTTTGAAAATATTCCGAGATTTAGTGGAGAAGAATACAGGTGGAGTGCAAAGCGACAAACCTGGCCTGGATGGACTGCTGGAACAAGGCAGAACCTTTATGCTTCAAGAAGGACAAACACCCGAAGCACAGCACAAGATGGTTTCAGATACCCTGGGTGGACTCATGACACCTGTGCTTCCTCCCTTTTATCGGATATTCATGTCGGGCATTGTCCCCAAGTTGGGCACTGACTTGGATGGAAAGCAGTTGGGGCCGTGGTTTTATGCCCCCTTCTTGACATCCTTTGTCACACCCACATTCTTTGGCTTTTTGGTCGGACCGTCGTATCCCAATCGACGAAAGGATGGACAACCTGGTGGATTGGTGGTGGAAAAGTGCAAATTCTTGCAAGAATCTGGATGCAAGGGCATTTGTCTGCATCAATGCAAGCTACCCGCCCAACAGTTTTTCAAAGAAGAGTTGGGATTGCCCTTGACCGTGACACCCAACTTTGTCACGCAAGAATGTCAATGGAGTTTTGGAGAGGAGCCCTTGCCTCCGGCCGATGAACCAACATTTCCCAAGGGCTGCTTGGTGGGGTGCGAATCACGAAAACAAATGGTTGGTCGAGTTGCGGATGTGTGCAATTAATCAATCAACTATTGCTAAAAAGCGGGTATGGATACAGTACCGTACCAAAAGAGGACTAACGATAACAATGACGCAGTTTGGGCCATCCTTGAGACTCGCTCACACGCTTACTACACGCTATATCTCAACTGAGTAACTAATAAAACGATACTTGCTACATGTCTCAATTGCTTAGGACAGTGAACACTGGTCAAGTTACTGAGATTAGACTTGGCAGGCCGACCTCAAGCACCTGTCCACCTGGCATTTTGGGAAGTACTAGTAACTCCAACCTCGAAGGTTGGGTTGGAATGTTACGGTACTCCAACGTCAAAGGTTGGGAGACGACCATCACCGAACGTCCCCAACTCTTTACAGCACTGCGAGCTTAAATCTTGGATCTTGTTGCTTCGTTTTGACACCACGAAGCGAACCTGTCGATGAGAAGCCACGGAGTACAGTCGTAGGAAAGCAATCACAAACGGCTTCACAAGTCCAACAAGAACGCACAATAGAAAGACCTCCCTCTGAAAATATCACCCAACAACCCAACAACAGATCAAGATGTTCTCAGCAGCGCTCCGAAGTGGCTTGAGGCGACTGCCAGCAACGACGAAATTCGCTTTTTCCAAAGTTGTCGCTCCATCCTTTTCCACGGCTCCTTCCACGAGACCCTTTCAGATTCTCGGAGTCCAACAAATTGCATTGGGATCGACCGACAAGACCGGTATGGACAAACTGTGGGGAGACATTTTTGGACTCAAGCCCGAGAGTAACTTCAAGAGCGAAAAGGAAAATGTCGATGAAGATATCTTGCGATTGGGTGCTGCCAAGTCACCGTTTGCAGTCGAAGTGGATTTAATGATCCCCATTGATCCAGAAAAGAGTCCCAAGGTACGACCATGATCTTATGAATTCCGCCTTGTTTACTCTTCCTTACGGTACATGTACTTTCATTGTGATATTATTGTGATAGGTCCATGTTCCACCGTTGAATCACTTTGGATTGTGGGTGGACAATCTGGAAGAAGCCGTGGAATGGATGCAAGCCAACGGGGTCCGCTTTGCTCCTGGTGGAATCCGCATGGGCGCCGCCGGCCACAATGTGACCTTTATTCATCCCAAGGGAAACGAAAAGTCCCCCATCTGTGGCAATGGAGTATTGATTGAACTGGTGCAAGCACCACAGGAAGTCATTGATGCCTTTCACAGAGAGTCCTAACGAAGCAAAGCCTCCGTGTCCTGAAACAGATGCAAGTACAGTAGAGTTAGACAATGCAACGAAGAAAGGAAGCAAACAAAGAAATTACAACCATTGCAAAATGACGGCTCCAAGAATGCACTTTGCTAAACGGTAGAAGAATATTGAATACACGTTCATGGCGGTAAATAAGTCAAGCTGCATTCTCCATGTGCGGCAGCTAGCTAGTAGACCAACAATCTAGCCGCCAACACTTCCAGAGTCGCATCGGGCTTGAGTGCACTCTTATTGTTCGTTCCAGTTAGCTGCTTTCTACTAAACCAAATCTATAATACAAGATTTCGTTTCCCAAACACAAAGGGCGGCTCGTTTCCTCCCGCCTTTTCGCATTGCTTGGCTTTTTGGAGACTTCCCTTGGGAGGTACAATGACGAGATTCTTGAGATCTTCGTCGGCGCCTCCCGGTTTGACCAATTCTAGTAAAACGGCAAACAGCTCGGTGACGAGAATGGGTGGCATTTCGGCTGCCTTATTGCCCTTGATTTGTTTTTGGTATTCCTGTATCAATTCGGACTTGCGAAAGTAGAGTGGCGTTTGTTGTTGATTGTTGTTGGTAACCGGAATGGTAAAGTTTTCCATGTAAAAGAGCGGGACCTTGCCTTCGGGTAGATCCGACTTTCCGGTGATCTGCAAGGCATCTTCAATATCGTCAAAGGCAGGTGCTACTTGAAAGTAGTTTTTGGTGTATTGTGATTTGGTAACGACCGTGACGGCGACATCCAATGGGATGGTGGAAATGCGTGCCAATGTCCAGGGATTGGTATCGTCTTCCAGTGGCTGTTTTTCTCGTTTGGCTTGTCGAATGGCCTTATCGGCACTGTTCCGTGCCAGATCCAACAATCGTTTGGCTTCTTCGTACGTGGTAAAGAAATATCCAGTCACCTTGGCATCTTCTCCCACGACCATGAACGGGACACCACTGGCATCGACAATGGAAAAGGTAGGCACGGCATGCAACATGTCGGCCACGGAATTGGTCGACAGCAATCCACTACTGGTACTACCGTCTTCTTTTTCTGTGTCAGCCCAGGCAGGTCTTGTCGTCGATAATACCGTGGACGAGGCAGCCGCCACACATAATTGGGCCACTTTTCCACTCCAATCGCGTCGAGATACCAGCCATTGATCAGCACTGTAATCAGCACCAGCAGAAATGTCTGGCACTTTGAGTGTCCAGCCTGAAGATAACCTAGAAAGATACCCCAGGACAATAAACAGAGTCCATTGCACAGCTGTAGACTTCATCTTCCGTTTATTTTCTGATGGCTCTTGCTTTGCTTCTGCTCACGCAAATCCAAATTGTTTCAACTTTGCCCATTTGCCAACAAAAATGAGCGGGAGGTGGTGTCACCAAAACACGTCATCGCGGTCGGGGTTTCAGGTGCCAAAAGATACGGCAAGATCCATCTTCGGTCCGCCCTCATTCTTGCATTTCAGCACACCACCAAAACAGAAACTCCTCCTCTCCCATAGGATAGGTAGCGTAAAAGGTAACCAAGCATGCGGCAACTATCGCGAGCTACAAGCCTTTGCTTCTTTCTCTCTTTGTGTACCACAGCTGATGCGTGGTCGACAACGATAAGGGCAACGTCAATCCCGCAAAGAAGCAGATCCCATCCACTTATTGGTTCAGATGCTTCTACTACTACGTTTACCACGGCACTCGGGTCGTCCTTACAGAGTCCTGATTTGGGAGACGTCGTGGCAGTGCCACTGCTGCTAGTGGCAGCGCTAGGATTGGGAGTGGCCGCACAAGGATTCATCAATCAAATGTTGGAAGGAGATCAAGGATTGGGAGCCTTTCTACGAGATGGGTCAGGATACAACAAGTCGGGAATGAAACCTTCCATGTTCTCCGACAATAAGGACAAAGCCAAGGACGATCCTTTGCCGTGGCTCAAATTGCCAGAATTGGACTTTGTCGAAGTGGCAGGACAAGAACGCACTACAAGGCCAACGCCAACAACAATACCAACCCCACAACAACAACAAATTGTCATTGACAAGTTGGAAACGGTCAGAACATTAATGTTCCAAGCCTTGGACGATGGAAATGTGGAACAAGCTGAGAAATTCAAAAACGAAATGGAACAAGTCATGGCGGACAACAATATCGAATACAACGAGTTTCAATAATATAATGTCATGTACTAGCTAGATAGCGGTTTCCACGGGCTAAAGTCTTCTCACGGAAGACAAGGCAAGGAAAGACAGATGTGGCGACAAGCTTTAGAAGCGACGGTTTTTGATTCATGGATTCCTGCTCGTCCGTCGCCGTCTCTATGCATAGCTAGAGTGCCCTTGTTGTCCGTATACATCGCTTTGACCAGATTGGCGGACGATCATTCGGGACGAAGTCGAGAAACAAAAACAGCAACTTTACTATTTGTTTTTTTCCGTGTCGTATGATCTATTAATAGTCTAGCTAGACGAGGCAGGTCGGACCCGTTTGTTTCGTCAATTGTTCTTCCCAAGAATTCGTCCAACTCAAGTTGCATCCAGCCCAGTCACTACAACTTCTCTTTGCTTCGCACAACAGTTGGCAATCGCCCGGTTCAACTTTTCCAAGCTTGTTATGATCACACAAGAAACTACTCAGATCCTAAACCTACGATGTACGGTATGAGATATGAGACCAAAGGCAACAACTACATGTACCTCTGCTGCATGCACTAGCCAAAGCCTCAAGGCAAATTGACCCAGCAAGATGTACTACATGTAGTACTAGTACAGTACCGGTGTGCATAGATCCAATGTAGCCGCGAATGCTCCGCTCGGCCGATCCAATGCCTCCCGAGCTCTATGTACATGATACTAGTACTTAAATCCGCCATAATAGGTTCCATAAATCTGCCATACGTGTTAACTAGCCTGCTCTAACGCTACATGTACCAGTACCGGTACCTGTACCGGTAGATCTAGGTAATCGCGGGAGCAAGCAATCCGACCGTTGGATCTTTGATATCTGATCCAAGCATTGGCAAGAAGAGAACCCTCTCCCATTTTTTTTGAGGAGGAAGATAAAAACAAACACCAGCCACACCTCGTGTCGAAGCAATAATCAATAAGAGAAACAAAGAAACATCAACAATGACGGTAGTGACGGACGCGAAGATTCTGACAGTGGACACTGTGCCAACGTACTTGGCATCGTCTCACAGCGACAAGCTGGAGTCGATTTTTGGCTGCGGTTCTCCCAAATTGACTGCCAAGGCGATTCAAGGCGGCAATGTGAACTACGCCTTTTGCGTGACGGACGAAGCGTCCTCCAAGACGGTCTTTCTCAAGCAGGCTCCTGAATTTGTGGCTATTTTCGGACCCGATGGATTCCCGTTGACCAGTGCTCGCATGCAGCAAGAAATGGACGTTTATGCCGAATGGAAAACTCTGCTGGGAGACGAATTGGCTACCAGGTATTTGCCCAAAATACACTTTTTTGACAGTGAGTACAGTCAGAGAGACATACAAAAAAGGGCTCATTGAGGTACTCATCCTCTTGTCATTTTCTTACGGTTTGCTTTGTTTTTGTCAGAATCGTACATGGTGGTGGTGATGGAATTTTTGGAAGGCTACGAATTGTTGGATCACGTGTTGGTGTCGGAAGAATGCAACGTGCATGCCAATGTGGCCACTTACCTGGGTGATTTCATGGGACGGACTCATGCAGCGACGCATTCGTCCAAGGTGGATGCCGAACGAAAGGCATACTTGGTGGATCACTACGAAAATCGAGCCATGCGAGACATTCAACTCGAATTTGTCTTTACCAAGTGCTTCAAAGAAGCCACCGATGAGCAACGGGCTGGGCTGACATTGACTCCGGAATTCATGGAACAAGTTGAAATGATGAAACAGCAGTACGATGGGAAAACGGATTCACTCGTTCTCAGTCACGGTGATATTCATCCGGGATCCGTCATGGTCAATTGCAAAGATGGAGAAACCAAAGTCATTGATCCGGAATTTACAGTGTATGGACCACCTGGATTGGATGTGGGCAGTTTGTTGTCTGGATTTGTATTGGGAGCCATTCATCAGGCATTCTCCAACAATCCAAAGGCGGTAGAAGCCATTGTGGAGGGAACCAAGGCTGTCTGGGGCGCCTACGTGAAAGCCATGAAAGACGGTGGCATCTCCGACGACATTATTAAATCCATCGAAATTGAAACGGTGGGATTCACATTGCAAGAAGTCTGTCGAACGGCACTCGAGTTTGCAGGAGGACGCAAATGGTTGCAATTCGAAGATCCAGACACGAAATTGGCCGCCAAAAAGGCAGCATTGGCGGTCGTCGACAAGTGCATGATTGCTCGTCATGAAGGAGGAATGCCTCTCTTGTTGAAGGAAATGCAAGCTGTGGCCACCAAATAATCAAATATACCAACCAACCAATCAACCAACCACTACAATATACAGACAAACATACGACAGAAGTGACTACGATGATGCCGGTGAACTCCATGCCAGTTGTTAAGGATTGAATGCAGGGTATTCAGTATGATATATCATAGTAGCATGACTTGGAATTGAGTGTCAACCTACATGTAGCCACTAATCAGCAGAGGAAAGCGTGACATTGAGATTGGATTCTCCTCGATTTTGAATTTCGACCAGTCGGAGAACATGCGTGGTTTGCATCGTCATTGCTTCGGGTTGCTGCACTATGGCCAACCAGCTGCATGGTGGATGCGTGGCTCGAGGGAGCTACTGAAGGAAGCAAAACATCATTAGGTTGTTGGAAGTGAGTATTGGTCAAAGTCATGTAACGAAGTCTGCAAAGAAGTTGGAGAGTGCTATTCAGTGTGGGCTGCACAATGCACGGAGCGGGAGAACCACGAAACTCGTGGTTTTGGCTATTTGGCTGTTTTCTTTTGTTTTTCTTCGGAAATAAAAAAAGCACAAAATTGGCAGATTCAACACATTCTGGTCATTTTTTCGTTTGGACCGTTTCTTGCTTCTTCTTACTTGGCTACCGGATGCCTTTGGATTCATCATTCGGTCGAGCCATCAAGGATCAAAAGGATGTTGTGTACTGTATGATGATGTGCATTGCTGGTAGCTTCCCTGGAGCATCTCAAAAGTAGTGGTGAAGTACCGACATGTTCTTTATTCATGGAAGTGGTGATCCTGTTGTGTGTCTGGGTGCCTGGAAAGTCGACGAGTAAACTGCTTCCGACGGACAGCAGAGAACAAAGCTTTTTGCTTCAGGATAGTGATCAAAACATGACTTTAGTTAGAAGAGATGATGACAAAATCTTTGAATTTCAGTGCCATCATCATGGGAACCCCTCTATCCAGCCACTATGAAGGTTACTACCCGGTTTCAGAGGCTCTACCTGTGAATACCAAAAAGAAAGAGGACTGATCTCTTTCATAATGGTTTTCAGGATTCTTTGGCACAAATCGGCAAGCCGCAGCTGAATCTACTGGTATCATGGGGCTTTCCGCCTCCAAGGATTGGAAGCCTAATGAGCAGGCAGCCAGGCAGTTTCGACAGGCTGAGCAAGCCCTTTTGAAAAAGTACGGTGTCAAGGACATCACTACAGAGCGTCACCTCAAGTTGAGCTCAAACCCTGCACTAGGAGGCGTTACATTTGCTAGAGTCTTGGAGGTCAACTTACCTGTTGCCACGGCCAGCCAACCAAAGGCAAATGACATTCCTGTCATGTTTTTCCACGGCGGTGGAGGGACACCATGTGACTGGCTGCCAATCTTGCCCCATTTGGTCCAACCTGGACGTGTAGTCTACCTCGTTGAACGTCCTGGCAATGGGTTGTCCTATCCCTTGGATTACACTACGGTTGAAGTGGCTGACTTCTCAGCTCAGTTTGTATCCGAGGTGCTCCAAGCCTTGAACATTCGGAAAGTGCACTTGGTGGGAAATTCTTTTGGTGGTGGGACTGTTGTGTGGTATGCCAACAAGCATCCCAACCTATCTACTGCTGTGGCCAGCATAACTTTGGTGGGCACTCCAGCCGGTTTCCAAGGAATGAACGTCCCATGGGTTGCTTGCCTTGTACGTCCTTGGATGGGAACCATTGGTGGCTTCTTGGCACCCTTCTTTCCATTCATACCCGCCTTCCTCATGGGCGTTGTTTTGCGCATTTCTCTCAATGCCCTTTCTGTGGGCTATTTGTACTATCTTTATTTGGCCTACTGTATGCGCCACAATACGGAGTCAATCATTACAATGATCATGCAGCTCTATCCCCTCGCTCACAAGGGAAAAGGCTGGAAACTCAAGGACCTAGAACACCTCAGCCTCAAGACCTGTGTCTACGTCCTGATGGGCACTTGTGAACCTTTCATTTCTTCTGCCCAACAAGACGAAATCACACGTTGTATTGGCGCGGAGAATCACATTCGAGATATTGGTTTTGGACACATCCCTTGGTTTGCAGATCCGAATGAATATGCTATCACCCTTCAGAGGCTCTGGGCGGAAGCAGAAGCTCATTCCAATGCATCAGAATCTCGAGCTTTGATGCCCATCTTCCACCAATCCCCGAATGCAATGGTTTGCAAGCGATTGGAACCTCGAAGTGGCAAGGTGTTCTAGCTAGTTAGGTATGTTAGAGGCAGGCAGGAGAAGGTATTGAAACTAGTTTTTTCGACACACGTTTACGATCTTTTGGGCTTGGGAGATGCCCGCACGGCCCCTTTTGTGTTCGTACCGGTGAGCACCACGGTGCAGTCGCAGTGCGGCTGCGTACTAGTAGGTTTTGCGTGGTGGTTTGGAATATGAGGGAGGCGCGTTCAACGCAGATGTAGCTATTTGCCACGTTCAACGCAGACGGGCATCAAGATGGAAAATGACTCGATGTAGCTATTTGCCACATTGTCTTCACCGAAGTGACGACTATGTTACTCTCGCTAGCTAGGAGGGGAGTAGGGAACCTCTTGGTTGAATGGCAAGCGAAAGTCGTACAAGTTCAAGCTGCTGCGATCGGGTGCTCAGACGACACCACCACTGCAGGCCTGCCATCCCAGCAGTCGTTTGCTGGCGCCTGCTGGGACATCAATCCGTGGCTAGCAGGTAAAATCGTTCTCCTCAAAGCTGTATTGCCTCCAAGCAGAGCTGATTGTCCCAGGCGAAGCAAGCCCCTTTTCGCAGTCTTTGAATCGAATCCCTTCTTCGAAATTATTTCTGCTGGTTTGCTGCTTTCACACTGGCAATAATCGCAGAGATGTCTTGATGACTGTTCGAAACCTTGGTTCCAAAGTGAGGCTGGGTTTTGACCGATTCTTTGGGACTAAAAAGTGAAGATAGCTTCTCCGCTTCTTTCCTCTCGTGGCTACGAGTCATGCTCCCAAGAGAAAACAAAGGTGACTTCTTGGCGGCATTGGCAGGTTTTCCTGACGGAGCCTTGGCTCCAGTTGGGGCTGGGATTGGGGTTGTAACTGCGCCTGAGTGACTGGCGGTAACATTCTTTTGATCGTCAACTGTATTGGAAGAATACGGAGACTGCTTTCCTCCATTGCCTGAGGAACCTGCGATTGCAAATAGGGGAGGAGGCTTCTTTGCTCGATCTTCGTCCTTGCTGCTTCGTGAGAGTTCCGAGACATGTCTTTGTTTGGCGCCCTGGCTATTGCTACCCGCAGATGGTTGAATTGTCGGTTCATTGGGACCAGAGATTGCAAAGAGAGGTTTTATTCCCTTGCTTTGGTTGCCTACGCCATTGGTTTCATTGCCAGAGCGCAAACCATCAACGGTTCTCAGGTTCGCCGGGGGGTTGATTGAAAACAAGGGAACCGGCTTGGCTCGGTCTGCAGCATCCTGCGATGGTTTCGCCGGGTTGATTGAAAACAAGGGAGCCGGCTTGGATTCGTCCGCAGCATCCTGCGATGGTTTCGCCGGGTTGATTGAAAACAAGGGAGCCGGCTTGGATTCGTCCGCAGCAGCATCCTGCGATGGTTTCCCCGGGGTTGATTGAAAACAAGGGAGCAGGCTTGGCTTGGTCTGAAGAATCTTGCGATGGTTTCGCCGGGGTTTGATTGAAAAAAGGAACGGCTTGCTTGGTTGCGCATCTTTCGATGGTTTCGTCCGGACCGGGTTTGATTGAAAATAATGGAGCCGGCTTGACTTGGTCTGCAGCATCCTGCGATGGTTTCGCCGGGTTGATTGAAAACAAGGGAGCCGGCTTGGATTCGTCCGCAGCATCCTGCGATGGTTTCCCCGGGTTGATTGAAAACAAGGGAGCAGGCTTGAGTTGGTCTGAAGAATCTTGCGATGGTTTCGCCGGGGGTTTGATTGAAAACAAGGGAGCAGGCTTGAGTTGGTCTGAAGAATCTTGCGATGGTTTCGCCGGGGGTTTGATTGAAAACAAGGGAGCCGGCTTGGCTTGGTCTGCGGCATCTTGCGATGGTTTCGCCGGGGGTTTGATTGAAAATAATGGAGCCGGCTTGACTTGGTCTGCAGCATCCTGCGATGGTTTCGCCGGGTTGATTGAAAACAAGGGAGCCGGCTTGGCTTGGTCTGAAGACTGTTGTGGTGGTTTCGCCGGGGGGTTGATTGAAAATAATGGAACCGGCTTGACTTGGTTTGCAGCATCTTTCGATGTTTTGTTTTCGTCCTTTGGATCCTCCGGCGGCGGGTTGATTGAAAATAATGGAACCGGCTTCGTCTCTGGTCTGTCTGACACGGTCATAGAAAACAATGGAGGTTTGGAAGTCGCTTCATTCGACCCAGAACTGTCGGCAGATGGTGGAAGTTTGCTGCTTTCTTTCAATGCAAATAGGGGTGATGTTGATTGTGATACCTTTCTACCAGCTTGTTCTTTCGATGACAGCGACTGCGTTGTAGTCTCCCTGTCGTTGTCAATCACAAACAGGGGTTTTGACTTCTGTTCTTTGTCGATCTCGCTGATTGCAAAGAGAGGTTTTGTCGGTTTGTCATCTGCAATGGCAAACAACGGACTAGCGCTAATTGATGTCTGCTGCTTGCTGTCGCTTTGTATGGAGGTTACGGAAGGAACATCTGTGGCATCAAGGTCTTGTTTGTTGATTACACCCGTAGATGCTTCCGACGACGATGCTGTTGGCCGATTCGATTCTTCCTCCTTTTTCAAGATTCCAGCGGGCGGAATTGTAACCAACGGGGGAATCGGTGTAGCGGCGGAGGAATAGACAGTGCCGCCGGAGGGCTTTGTCCCCGCTGATCGCGCCGACCGTGAATTGTGCGATCGCCTTGAAGAGTCAATAAAGCGTCTCACAGAAGACGCGTCCATGTTCATCTTGGGCATTGTGAACTTGTGCAGCAATCGTTTCAACTCATCTGGTTTGCAGGCTAGAGGAATGTCACGATGATGAGAACAACACGAAGACATCATGGCGTCCCGCGGATGTGTGTCTTTCAACAATCGGAAACTTACGCATGGGTTTCAAGATGAAGTCGTCCGCGCCAGCATTGACGAAGGCAGTTCGCAAGTCGTTTGCAGACAGCCCAACAATCGTACTCTCGATTCCCTTCCGCCGCAGTGCTGACGCTGTCTCGGTTCCCAGCAGTTGTTTGTCGACGGAAGCCATATACTGATCCAAGAAGATGAGATCAATGGATGGATCCTCCGAAAGAATCTTCATTGCCATTTCTCCACTTGACGCCTCTCTGATCGTCCACGAGTCAGGGGTGGCTCGTTTGACAGCCCTTACAAACAACTTCCGAAGCATCGCATCGTCATCGACCTGAAAAAGTTGAATAATAGCACAGATCAGCTCTATAGTCGTGCATTGCGCCAAAACACAATGTCATGAAGCAACTTACGAACAAAACTTTAAGACCCTCCGGGAGCACAGGGTCCTGGTCGTTGCCGCGAAGAGCTGGTGTTTTCCTCGGCGCTGCGTGTTCTGGTACGTAATTCGCAGACGAAACGCTATCTCTTGAGGATAAAGTTCGCGAATTCCCCGTTTCGATATCAGTTGGTTCAGAGTAATCGAAATCGCCTTGATCTAATTCCCGGTCTAGGTCAAGTGGAGGAGTACTCAGATCCACTACAAAGCACGCCCCTGGTGATCCTTCTATCCCACTGTCATAATTGTCATCCAGGTACAAGTCTCCCCCCATTATGTGCATCAATTTCTTGCTCAGATTCAGCCCAATTCCCTAGATAGAGATCCAAGCCGACATGGAGAAAGAGAATATTGTTAGCACCGCAGTATTGAAACGCAAGCAAAGACAGATGCACCGCAGTTCACAACGCTTACCGTTCCCTGGGATAGTAGGTCTAAGGAGTCTTGGTACTTTGCAAACAACTCCCGCTTCTTTTCTAGTGGAATGCCTGGCCCAGAATCTTCCACAAAGAGGCGGACTCGGCTTTCAAGTCCTTCCGTCACGACCTCTGCCCTCATCCTAAGGAAACCACGCTCCACAAATTTGCTTGCATTACGAACCTGCAGTTTGTCCAAGTTGCCAAACACCGATTGAGAAATGTACATAAAGTGAACAAACCCTTCTCCATGATCATCAACACGCTACAGACACTACGTACCAGGTTCAGTATGACCTGTTTCAAACGAATTGAATCGGTCATGACAACAAGATTGTCTGGGCAATCTACCAAGACTTCAAAAGTGGCAAGTCGCTTGTAAAGAATATTGGAGACTGGTTCGAGAATATCGTGTTTGATGTCTGTCGGCGCCTTTTCCACCGATATTTGCTTGTCCGACGCCCTGTAGATGTCCAACATCGACCTGTCAGAAGAGAACAAGTCCAACATAGTGAGCGTTGCGGCTTGAGAAACAACGGTTCCGGAGAAGCACGAGCTGTGTGTAACCTTACCGAAGAAAATCATTGATAAAGTGGAGACTGCAGAGAGGCAATGGACGTTGGAAATGATAAGTGTATTGTATTGAGTGATGTGATTTGGGTCTCTTTGAAAGCGTTCGCGATACGGAACGTACCTGGAGGTGACCACTTCAATGTCATCTCGAACGTACGACCGGGACTCTTCATCAGCTAGGGGATTTGCTTCGTTGACCGCGGTGGAAACGAACGTGCAGGCACTGATGGCGGCAGACAACGGATTTCGAATCTGGGCAGGAGAAAAAGTTTTGCCGTAAGAACAACATATTGTACCCACTCAAAAACAACGAAAACAAAGAAAGACCCTCTCATATCATAATATCATACCTCGTGGCTAAGGAACTCATTGAGCTCTCTCTCGGTTTCAGCAGCCTTCTTGACCTTGTCAATCACATTGTCATTCATGACCCTTTGCCGATGCTCCACAACGACCGAATACAAGGTGAAGACAAAGGCAGCAAAGACAAAGACAATGACGACGATCGCTGCATATACGGCCGGCTGGTTGGATACAAACAAATCCTTCGTCACCTTGGATGGATAGACATGAATAGTGTATTGCACTGTATCACTGAGATGCACGGTTTGGTAGGCCCTGTTTTCCGGTCCCGCCCGTTCACTCAAATAGGAATTGATGTTTGTGGACAAAACCAGTTCTTCGTACTTTGGATCATGTGGATCCCCCATGCCCAGGGCTGTGGCGACGGCACCGTCAATTTGGTAGGAGAATGTCTGATTGAAGGAGTTTGTAATGACACAGACAAGCCCGCGCAGATTGGTGGGTAGCAAATTGCTAAAAAAGACTTTCCAGTAAATATCGGTGGTGATCATGCCAGCCAAGTTGCGTGTGTCTGCGTCAAAGGTATCAAAGACGGGATAGGACAGCAGCGTATGCCAGTCGTCGACGAGTTCTTCTGCTCGATGTCTGTATTGTGAGACTTTCAGATAGTATTGGAATTGTGCCTTTGATATTTCCCTTGGCTCTGCCGCCATGTTCAAAACGGCCATTTGTTCCGTTTGCATTGTATGGATGAGATCCTTGGCGATGAACTTTGATCTGGCAACGTCCAAGTTGAGCGCTGAAGCTAGGCGGGCATCGGCAGGACTGGTCAAGAGAATAGAATAGAAACAAAAACAAGCAATACAGCAAGGGAATGAAATAAAGGTCAGTTTCAGCTCTCTATAATATATGCAGGCTGTGTCGCATTCTGGGTCCTTACCTTTGCTGCCAAAGGGGCATGTAATTTCCGTCTCCGGATCCTTGGGGGACATCTCCTCTGGGTGTGGTTGATCCCGAGGTCCAGATATAGGGATGGTAATTTGACCCGTCGTTAAGAGTGGTGGGACGGACCCCCAAGACTCCTTGGGTATCCGTTGATACTAGAGCTTCCAGATCCTCGTTGAATTGTTGTGTTTCCATTTCAGTTTCATTCTGAGCTTGTAGCTGTTGCAGTTGTCGTTGTCTTGATCTTGTTCCATAGCCATACATCTGATCTTGTTCCATGCGATACTTGGTGTCATACTGTATGGCTTGCGTAGCATGATGCCTATTTTGAAAGGAGTATTCTTCCCAATCCCCCCTGTTGTGATCTGACACGAGCGGACACCAATGGAGTAAATGGGATCCCGATTGTGCCCTGATATCCGATCCCTTGATTTCAAAGTGCGGCAAAGTGACGAATGGAAAACTCTTGTTGGTTTCCAGCGCATAACTGGTGATGCTATTGCTCAAGGAAGCCACAGCGCCCATATTGCGTTCAATGGCTTCATGGAAGCTGTCAATCACTTGAATCGCACTGTCTTCAAAGGCAATTTGGAAATCTTGCTCTTCCCCATTGCGGGTATACAGAAACACACCGGTCGCCACTACTGCGGCCGCCACCAGCAGAGCTATAATGGCCGACACACGAAGGATATTGACCACCTTGGTCTCGGCAATCGCCCATGACTTGGCCAACTTGCTCGTCTGCATATTGTCGCTTACGTAGTTCATGTGCTTGATCGACTGAAGAGACGCCAACGGATTTATCTCGGGATCTCGCGCCATCTGCCTCTTCTTGGCGCTGTTGCCTCGGAATAGTCGAATCATTGTAGTTAGTTAGTGTGTGAGCAGCAAGGAATGAAGATGAAATAGACTAGTACGGTAGGAAGATAGATAACGAAGAATGAAGATCAATGATCCAAATGCTCAACGTAGTTGGTTTCTAAAGCAAGGCGTGGTGGAATGAGTAGCTGGCTGGTGGAACAAACCACAGAGAGCTTTCCTTTACTGTTGTTCGCCTCCGGGTGTATTTGGGCAGTATTTGGGCTATTGGTGTGGTTGTGGGTTGTGAGAGTTGGTCCTAACCAGGTATTCGCACCTCTTTCTTCCTCCGTACGTACGCGAAATCAATTTAACTGTTAAATTCGGCTTGCTTTCACTCCATTTCCACGAAAGCTGCGGTACGGCGA